ATAGCAACAACGCAAGTTCGCATATTGATTCAAAAGACCAATGAATTATTCTTCTTTCTTAATTTGGTCGGCGGGCTTTTCATTGGAAATTAACCCTGTGCTAACAATATAAGGTAGAACTTTATCGGAGTAACCCTTTGTATGGTGTTTAGCAAGACTAACAAAGCTGTATACAGAGTTAAAAAAAATAAAATATAAAATTCGATAAATTAATAAATTGAAATGAAAAAGCAAACATACCGTTCCCAATAGGCATTGATAATTTTAAGTAAATGTTCCAATTGTTCATCAACTAAAGCCTTGTTAGACAAATAGGCCTTTGGAAGAGTAAATCCGAGAATAAGTGCTATATAAAACAGGGAAATAATTTGGATTAAGTCACAATCAGATTTGAAGCGTTTTAAAAAATTGAAAACAAAGAACCAATGGATCTTTACTAGGAAAATCAAGTTACGAGACATGATTTACGATGTTCCGTGACCTGATTTTCCTAGCAAAGATTCCAAATAGTAAAATATATAGATTACTAGTTATAATAAAGGTTTGGAAGCTCATCCATGACAAGATGCTCCAGGATACGTAAAGCATTACAATATACTAAAAGAAGCAATAAAAATCAATTTTTGTTTATTGTAAATCAAGTAGCAAATTTAATACTAATCATTACCTTAAAAGATCTCATCGGATCATCGATTAAAGCAATTTGTTGGCCTTCCAACAGCAAGTAGTTGATGCTATCGATACAAATATCAATATATTTGTCGGCAGTAGTACGATCAATGTAAACAGGTGTCTCGGTCAAGAATTTTCTGAAAAATAAATGATAAAATCCGTAAATAAATTCTTAATTTACAGATTGCAAATCCAGATATCAAGTAACAACATACTCGAATGGGTTAACAACTTCGTTTTTCAAAAACTTTTGTAATTGCTCTCTTAAAAGAACATGTAACAAATTGAGAAGTAACGCGTAAACCGTCACATAGCATGAAGCATTGAGCAATGAAAAGTAAGTGGTAAAGATAATAAAGGATAAAGCGCCTGCCAATACAGAACCAGAGTGCACGGGATTTTCCCAAAAGACAAGATAATTCACTTGGAAGCAGAATTGATCAAAAAATTCGAGATTAACAGGTTTTTACATGACGGAAAAATTGTGAATCATGTTAGACATTAAATGATCAATTGAGAAACGTGACACACAAAATCAAGATATCTTGACTAAGAGATATCTCAATTGTAGAACGCGAACACGAATTACCTTTGGGAATTACGCCAGCAAACGTGTCTAATAAAATGCGATAATTGAAATAACAAGATAAATCGAGGTCAAATAAAAATTTTAATTTTAATGTATAGTACAACCTAAGAATTGTATACATACTTTCAGCAACTTTTCTTGTCTTTGTCGTTGTGCTAA